CAGCAGCAGCAGCAGCAGCAGCAGCAGCAGCAGCAGCAGCAGCAGCAGCAGCAGCAGCAGCAGCAGCAGCAGCAGCAGCAGCAGTGCATGCAGGGGGTAAAGCTACGAGCAGCTGCGCAGTGTTTCGAGTTGGTGAAGATGAAAGAAAGACAAAAAGATGCAAAAGAAATAAAAGGGAGAAAAAGGAGAAGCAAAAAAGAAGCAAAAAGAAACAAAAATGGGCCAGAAGAGAGAAAAGGGAGCAGCAAAAGAGCAGCAAAGGAGCAGCAAAAGAGCAGCAAAAGAGCAGCAAAAGAGCAGCAAAAGAGCAGCAAAGGAGCAGCAAAAGAGCAGCAAAGGAGCAGCAAAAGAGCAGCAAAAGAGCAGCAAAGGAGCAGCAAAAGAGCAGCAAAAGAGCAACAAAAGAGCAGCAAAAGAGCAGCAAAGGAGCAGCAAAAGAGCAGCAAAGGAGCAGCAAAAGAGCAGCAAAAGAGCAGCAAAAGAGCAGCAAAAGAGCAGCAAAAGAGCAGCAAAAGAGCAGCAAAGGAGCAGCAAAAGAGCAGCAAAGGAGCAGCAAAAGAGCAGCAAAGGAGCAGCAAAAGAGCAGCAAAAGAGCAGCAAAGGAGCAGCAAAAGAGCAGCAAAGGAGCAGCAAAAGAGCAGCAAAAGAGCAGCAAAAGAGCAGCAAAAGAGCAGCAAAAGAGCAGCAAAAGAGCAGCAAAGGAGCAGCAAAAGAGCAGCAAAAGAGCAGCAAAGGAGCAGCAAAAGAGCAGCAAAAGAGCAGCAAAAGAGCAGAAGAAAGAGTTGCAAAGAGTTTCAAAAAGCCCGAAAAGAGGTTTAAAGGCGGCCCAAAAGCGCTGAAAACCCTAAAAAGAGGTTTAAAGCGAGGGTTTAAGCGCGGTTTGAACTAGGGTTTGAACTAGGGTTTGAATTAGGGTTTGAATTAGGGTTTGAACTAGGGTTTGAATTAGGGTTTGAATTAGGGTTTGAATTAGGGTTTGAATTAGGGTTTGAACTAGGGTTTGAATTAGGGTTTGGGAGGGTTTGGGGCCCCACCGGCTCTGGCGACGGGCCCCGCGGCGTGGATCTCGCGCTGGACTTGGTCTGGAATGTGAAGTTTGATTTTGTGTTTTTTCACTAAGTGCCAAAGCCTTATGGAAAAGCTGCAAAACCACCAGCGGTAAAGTCTTGGCCAGCAAAGAGTGTTGAAAGTGGAAGCAAAGAAGAGCAGCAGCTGCAGCTGCGTGTAGAGGAAGTTTCCAAAGAGGATCGCGCGGGTCTGGGGGGGCCCCCAGAGGCCCCGGGGGCCCCCGGGGCCCCCCGGGGGGCCCCCCTCGGGGGCCCCCTCGGGGGCCCCCAGGGGCGGGGGGCCCCCCGCGGCGCAAACCAGGGGCCCCTCCCGCGCGTAACATATCTGAATGGCAAACCCCACAGCCACCAGCAGCGCAGCAGCAACTTGCGACGTTCGCAGCGCGAGCAGCAGCACGCGGGGCCCCGCGAAGCGAAAGGCCAGCAGCAAAGACAGCAGCAAAGAAGCAAAGCCGTAGATGCAAAGGGCCCCCAAAGGGGTACTGGGCTGCAGGAAGGGCTTGGGCCCCAGGGGCCCCAGGGGCCCCAGGGGCCCCTGGGGGCCCCCGGGGGGCCCCCCGGGCTCGTCAGGACACGCCATTAACCCCACTAAGACCGCCAGAAACTCCACTGTTAAGACCCAACCACAAACTCCATTTATTGTACAAGTCCCAAACACTCCGTGGTGACTTCTCGCAAACTCCCGCAACTTCATGTGCACGAGGGCCCCCTGGAAGCTCCCCAGGGGGGCCCTCACGTACACGGCGCGGTTCAGGGCCTCCACGTCCAAAGCCACGCTGCTGCTGCTGCTGCTGCTGCTGCTGCTGCTGCTGCGGCTCCCGCCCCACCCAGGGGGGCCCCCTTCGCTCGCAGGCCCCGCAGGGGCCCCCAGCTCCACCTCCCCCGCCGCCGCCGGGGGCCG